AGGGAAACAAGTAGGAGCGAGGTATATACTCGTCGCAACTAGTTGCGTCATATTGGGTTGATTCTTGTGTCCCGTGCAGGATTGGTGATGCACTCACGAGACCCCACTGAGCCACTACTAGTAACAAGCGAACTTTGTGTAGTCTATTAATAGTTTCGTTTTCTCACCACTTCGTCCAAACATAAGGGAGCTGACACGCTTGCACTACTTTCCTTTAAGAGGTGGACTAAATGCAGAAGGGGCCCAGAAAGCATGAAACGGGGGTGTGCCGAGGATTTAAAGAAAAGTAAGTTTGAAGTTCTAGGTCGAAACTAGAATCTCTTGTGCGGTTCTGGTTATGGTTTAAGGGATGGCAAAAGGGCAGGCGAACCGCTCTTTACGGTGTCCTTTCCCTGGTCGGGGTGCGAGTGCATGTGTGAGTGTGTGTGTGAGTGTGTGTGTGTGTGTGTGTTTGTCTCTATGGTACGCGAAGGTACGCGAAGGTACGTAACTTTACTGCACCTCGCATGTTACTCCGATGACCAATCATCGACGCACCTTAATCCCCGAAGCTCGTGCAGGTATCGTGACTTAATGTTGCGTGGTAACCCATCCATCAACTCGAGGCAAGGCCAGTGCTCATCTCGTGCGTAGTTACGGGCGATAACAGGGAAAGTCTACGTGCGAGAGTGGAAAGGCAGTAAGAACTAGAAGGCGGAGGAGGGTTAGTAAATATGGCAGTGCGAGGCGGGGTACCTGGCCGTTTGAAAGATGTCCATGCATGCGAGCGAACTTTCAGTTAGAAGGCGAATGCTACCTTTCGTAAGTGAAAGTGGGGTCGCAAATGTATTGGAAATCGATCTCGGTGATTTCAAAAAAAGGGGGGGGAGGGGAGAGAGGGGAAATAAGTGCACGATATTCCATGCTTGTTTCTTCCCGAGATAGCAAAGGGGGAGGGGGAAAGGTGGGTCGAAAGTACAGCATAAGCATTTGTACACGAAGATGAGGGGAACTGCAAAAAAAAGGAAAATAGCACGAGACTACGCCCTATAGGGTTGAAGAAGGAGGGTTCGTGAGGACTGCTACCCGTCTCTTATTCACGATGCTCTAAATTYGAAGGCTTTTAACAAGCCGGGGAGCAACAGAGTGAGAGACTAGTCGCTGATCCTTTTGAAATCCTCTGCGAAGCTGGATAGCTGCTGCGCCAGGGGGGTGGAACCTTTCATGGAAGCAGACTGCTATGCAGCTTGATAATCATGGATCAAGCAAAGYGCAAYGGGGGATGAGGAAGGGTTCAGCGAAGGAGAGAACTCCGATAGGGAGGTAGAGCTCTTTTCTAGGCTAATAGCTAGTAGGGAAGGGGTGTCACATCCACAAAAGCATACAATCCACTGCAGACAAGAACAACGATTCTTTTTGACTAACCATCGCTATAAAAAAAAGGGGGGGAGTAGAGAGGAGATTGAGATACACAGATGCGAACCGCTTTTCATTCCTAAGCTTTCGGTAAGGGCAAAGAAGTGGAACTCGAACGCAAATGGAAACGAAAGAGACGGAAAGAACCCGAGTAAACAAAATGCGATCCATCTTTCACTCCTGCGCTCCCGAATAAATGATCTTAGCGCAGGTGGCTGAAGGAAAGATCGCATATCTCCGAAAAGAAGTGAGGTTAGGTAAAGGGGGGGTGATGGGGAAGAAGGGAAGTCTATCATTCTTAAGATATTAGTCGCAACGCTTTTAACATGGAGGAAAAAAAGGGGGGAGGGGGCATACCGGTATGCGGTCAGACTTTCATTCCTGTGTATCCGACTACGGGATCGGAGCGCAGGCGACTGAAAGCCAGATCACACATCGTTTGAAAAATTTCTTCAGGAAAAACAGTGAGGAAGAATGTGCGAGGTAAACAAGAACAGAAAAAAAAAAAAAAAAAAAAAGGTAAAAAGAGCAAACGATGATACACCCAATATATAACACGTATTAAGCTCAGAACACTTATGCTTGAAAAAAGTATTGCTAAAAAAACCCTCTCCATAATCCGGATCGGGGGGGGTAGGGAGAGAGGGAAAGAGAGGAAGGGGAAGAAAAGAGGAGGAAAAGAAGGAACTAAAAGGAAAAAAAACGCGAAAGCTGCACCATGCCATTTCAGTGTCCTGATTCCGCATCGACATGTACGGGACAACTCGGCAGATCCACAGGAGGGGTGGCACATCCCTGAGGCCTTTCTGTCGCCTGCCACTGGCGGCTTCATCAGAGGGGAGCTCTTCCTTTGTTGTCGGAAAGTTGAGACGAAGAAGAGGGAGGGTTACGGGGGGGTTGGAGGGGAGGGRKGGRGGGGGARGGGGGCTCAAACGTCTTGCACTCCGAAGGAACCGGGGGCCGAGGACCGCCTGCGAGACAGGAAGATCGATCACCACGAAGAAGAACTAGGGGGCCGCGCTCCGCCTGCTGACTGCACAATAACTGCTCCGAATGCCGCGGGGGTGGGGGGGCGGGGGGTTGCAAGCTAGCATTAGGGAGGAAGGCCGAGAAGAAGAGCACTGCAAGGAGAGCGAGGAGCGCTAGGTAAGCAAGGAAGATGCAGGCTGCGATCTCCATGGTTGACCTCTCGCAGTAATCGCTGGGCGCCATTATTCGCGGATGGGTGCTGCTGCTCCTATGGCGTGTAAGGAGGGGGGTAGCAGTAAATACAGGGATTGCGGGAGACGGCGGAGGTGGGAGAGTGAGACAGGGGAGGAAGAGAAAGGGAGAGAGGGAGAGAGCGGGAAGAGATATGCGGCGGGAATACAGGCGCCAGAAGGGGGAAGAGTGGTGCGAGAGCAGCGTGTGCGGACGGCGGGTTACACCATCAGGTCGTGCAGGAGGAGCGCTGCAACGATGAGCGCAATCATGCAAATCGCGCTGAGGGCAGCGAAGAAGAACGCTGTGGCGTAAATGAGAGCAAAGAAGCAGCGCGAGCTTGCGAGCATCATGCACTCGGTCCGACAGGCCCAACAGAGCAGCGCGCCGATGAGGACRTTGGGCACGAGYGCCAGACACAGRGCGATAGCGCAGAGCAGAGCGAGGAGYGCTAGCGGGTCCAGTCCAGTGGGCGTCATGGCGATGCGGCTACAGTACCCCTTCGTGAGTGCCGATGAAGTCCTCCTCGCKSTCTGGATCGAAGTGGAAGTCCATCTCCGAGCCTAGGTCCGTCCCACTGCCACTCGGTACAGAAAATTGYCGAGGCAGTCTTCGCAAGAAAGACCCGTTGCGAAATCCTYGGTCAGGCGTCTCGACAGAAATCTGGTCATCGGCTGCTCCAGATGGCCTCGTGCAATCTGTTTGGAAGTACCCTTTGTGGCCAAGCTTTCCTGCTTAAGTACCGCTCGATATGTTGGTCCGACCGGGCCTGAAGTTCACTGCTGGCGCTAAGTCTGAAATGCTGGAAGTGTTCGGCCGCAGTATCTTCGAGATTCGAGTTAAAATTGAATGCAGCCGTACCTAGCCGCCCGGTACAGAGGAATCCTAAATTAGCGCTAGCCCCCGGTCCATAACCCGTCACATCATTCCCCTCGGAAAACGACGGAATGACAAAGTGCGAGAAAAAGGGAGGCGTCAAAAAGGAAAAGAGTAAACAAAACGAAAAAGAAAAGGAACCAGAAAGAAGAAAACAAGAAGAAAAGAAAAGAAAAAAGAAAGAGAAAGAAAAAGAAAAAGAAAAAGAAAAAGAAAAAGAAAAAGAAAAAGAAAAAGAAAAAGAGAAAAAAAAAGAAAAAAAAAGAAAAAATTAGCGCTTGCCCCTAGTCCGTAACCCGTCACATCATTCCCCTCGGAAAACGATGAAATGCAGAAGTGTTGGGAAAAGGGGGAGGCGTCAAAAAGGAAAAGAGTGAACGAAAAAGAACCAGGAAGAAGAAAGCAAAGAGAAAAAAGAAAAAAAAAAAAGAAAGAGAAAGGTAAAAAGAAAAAAAGAAAAAAGAAAAAAGAAAACAGAAAACGAAAAAAACTGTGTGTGAGCGGCGCACAGAGGGTACCCTTTATTACGCGAGGCAGACCCAGGGATCGAATCCTACGCAACTATCAGAGAGCTGCTTCTTCTTACCACTGGGACCCACATACGCTACTGCCGTCATCTCCAATCTTCCCATGCTTCCACCTGAGTGGCGTGTGGTGACGCTCCACACCTTATTATGTATGCCCGACCTGGGGTTCTAATCCCATTACTCCTTATTGTGCCTAGCGAACGGCTAATTCTAATCGTTAGTAGGATCCATCGAGGTTGCTCCCGTCATCACCCTCCTTCCATTGTTCGAGCAGTCTTCAAAGTCCCATGGCTTCCTTCTGACCTGGGTATGCGTGTGCGTGTGTGTGTGTGTGTGACCCACCCTCTATCCCTCCAAGGGGATTGCACAGGCACTTGAGGGTCAACAGTCCCAAGGGGCTGCTGACCCATCTGGCCAGCAATCCCCTCGGACTCCACACACCTACACAGACAAAGACACGCACAATATTAGTTCATTCCTTGATTTTTCTGGAGGGATTGCAGAGTCAATCGCAGGTTTACCCTGCTGGGCTGATACGAATGCTGATTCTCGAAGACCTTCCTGACAATGCCCCAGCATCTGTGCGAGTCGTATCCATTGTCGACCATGCAACCTACCAATCGTCGAATCTCCAGTGCAGCTTCTGATGGGTCGGTGCAGAGGATCAGGATCTGAGCTGTCTGGGCTGTGATGATGTGCAGTGACTGTGCTATGCTCCTTTTAGAGTTGAAACGAGTGAACTTGCTGGGTTCGAACCCCAGGATCTTCCTTTTGCTTTTCGTGGTTGCGAACTCGCCCTTCTCGGCAGAGGAAACTGTGACAGTCATGCTGAGGAAGTTGGCGATGATGCCCTGGCCGTTTTCGCCAGTTAGCTCAGTTGTCTCCTTGATCTCGATTTAGTCTGCAGGATAGATCCACCTCGGGTCCGTACTCCGGTCACAGCTACCCCTGAAGCAGTCTATGACAGAAGGATTATTCAGCGAACAAACGTCGTCCACTTACCTGAAGGTATACCGGAAGGAAGCAACCAGCTCGTGCAGGCCACTTCTCAACATTCTCTGCATGGCCTGATACTCGTATTTGAAGAAGTACACGTCGCACCAGATCGGGGAGCAGGCCAGACCTATGGGAATCCCCAGGACCTGTCTCCAGACTTGACCGCCCAGCTGGACGAGACTGTGTGTCACGCACCACTCTGTGACCCAGATAACCTGCATCTCCGTGAAGTGCATAGCAGCATCTGTGGAACAAAGATGCTTGTCGGTCCATGCAGCGCTCATCCACCCGCTTTCGCTTACATGAACTGTGATCGCGTCCCTCGGGCTCCTGTCGCGTCTGTGCTTCATTGCACATTCCACGAAGAACTTCACAACAGCTATCAGACTGTGCTCGGAGGCATCCGTCGGGATCAATTCGAAGCAGCAAGTGATGTCGGCCGAGTAAACAGACGAAATCATCGGCGAGAGACTTGCCGCAAACTCACCAACCGAGGAGGTCGGCCACCAGAGGTTAGGCTTCACTCCAAATTCAGCTTCCATCAAGCAGACCTCTTCTTCGCAAAATTCTCTGACGGAGGGTACCAGGAAGCTCAGTAAACATGCGCATCGCTCGGCCATGGAAGAGACGGCTGAGTTCGCTGTGTTGGTGATCCACCTGAAGGTCCCTTTGTGGGCCTTGAATACTGCCATGAGATATGGTAGCGTTGCCCCAATGCGAGGTAGCGCAATCAAGTGCTCTGTTTCAGCTTGCATGCCCTCTATTAAGATCTCCGGCTCCACGTGCATCTGGACGAAATCCGGACTAAAGAGTCTCGCCAGCGCAAGTTGCCTGATGAAATTCATGCAGACGAAGGACGGCGTGTTGGCTGCTTTGTCCGTAGCGAGGATCAGGAACCTCCTGGAAAGGAACTCAATTTCTTTCTTGATGAAGGTCTGATCGATCGGCTCAGCTGCTATATGCCTGTGCCTGGTCCAATACTTGCGCATCTTGGATTTCGCCTTTGCGAGTGCATACCTGCTGACCACCTTCCTCCTTCTCTCGCTGAGTTGCATGACTTCGTGCACGCTCACCGCTACCTTGATCAGCAGTTGCTCGAACTCGTACAACGCTTCGTCGATGTCAAGTGCCTTCAGCAGGACATGATTGAGTCCAAGCTTCAGCATTGCTCTGAGCCTACTGTTGTCGGTGACGTTCGGATTCATTGTGACCACGTGCTGGTAAGGCGAGTCCGGAATGAGCTGCGAGGGAATGTGACTGCGAAGAGAGGAGTACCTCTGTGAGCGGCACGAACATCTAGCAGCATCATAGTCCTTCGACCACTGATCGAGGTTGAAATCCCTGAAGGTTCTCTTTGGTTTGCAGAGGTAAGCCGTAAGAGGATCGTTGTAGGTCCAGCCGATCACGACATCATCAAGCCAGGACTCAGCTTCCTCCCCCACTACTCGTCTCAGCGCGTCCAGGATTACTCTTCTCGCAAAAAAAGCTTCCATGACCCTGCTCGTGTATCTCATGTGCAGAAACGTGCCTTCGGTACGTCTCCTGCTCTCCCATTTGAACATGTCATTGGGAAGTCGGACCATCCTTCCGCCTAGCTCAAGATCCTGCGGGAGACGGATAGTGTGTTATGGGGGAAAAAAAGGGGGGGTGGGAGGGTCCTGCACAAGAGATAGTATACCAAGTATCTACAGCCGAACGGGGTGAAGGGGAGGAGGGGGGTGCATAGGGGAGGAGGAGGAAGAGAGAGAGAGTGCGAGCCATAGGGGGAGTGTGCGTAGATGTTAGAGGGGGAAGGCGAAGAGGCTCCTGGGAGAGAAAGGAAAAATAGGGGGGTGGGGGTGGGTGCGCGTGGGTCCGCGGCAATCTCATCGCGAGCGAACGACCTAGTGCATCTGCAGGTCAGCGTCAGAGAGTCTCCGCCTCAACCTCCTGGAATTCAAGGAAACGGCGGATTCAACTCCCGAGAGCTCCTCAGGGGACAAGCCACTCCCTGATGCAGAAGGGTCTACATGCGCCTGCGCTCGGAACGGTGGTGGGGTGGCCAGGATGGGGGGCTGCAAATTTGCTGCCCGGAGGATGGGAGCATTCGCGCGCTGGTGCTCGTGAGCGTATCTGGGGTTGTTGCCTTCATTTGCTCTAGGGGCGGCTTCCTGCTGCTGCTGCGGAGGAGCATCGTTCCTGGGGGCGGGTCGAAAGTTCAACCTTCCCTGGCCTGGAATCGGTTCCGGGCAGCTTCTTCTTCTTCGTGCAGGCCTGCGTGGGGAGGGCAGTGCTACCCTCCTGGGTCTGGCAGGGATCCTAGTGGGAAGTAGGATTCTGCCTATCGCCGGTGGGGTAAAATGCCTCCAGAGCCTCTCCTCGCTGATAACTTCTTCTGCGGTCAGCAGCTCATTTCTCTCAAGTTCTAGGATGCAGTTTGTCATGATTTCCCTGATAAACATGAAGATGATGCAGCCCCTGACTGCATCTTTCCAGGTTGTGCGCAGATAGTGAATGAACATGGAGGTTCTCACTCTCGTGGAGGAGAGGTTTGGGAACAGGACGTCCGAATGAGCCAGAAGGTACCAAATGGCATGGTCGACCCAGAGCGGTCCACCGGTGCATTCCTTATGATCTTCCCCTTTTTTACAGCTACATCTGAGGTACGGTCTACCCGCACTCTAGACCTTTCGCAAGTTCCGAAGATCAAGCGACGACGACTGACAAATCTTCTTATGCCACATCGTTGGCTCTGAATCGCCGCACTTGTCCGGATCTACGTACGTAAGAAGGGGAAATGGGAGATCAGTGGGCTTGAAGGGCGGATTGCCCTTCCCGCAGTACTTCAGCTGCCCCTTGTAGGCAATCGCTCTGCACTTTTTCACGTCGTCATCCGAAAGCGCAGCCAAAAATTGGTACGCTTTTATGGAGATCGGCGCGAGGTGATTGTAGGTGTCCATCCTCCAGATCGAATGCCTGAAGGCCTGGCATGTGTGCTCGATCCATTGATGGGAGGCGATGGCGGCGAAGGCTGTAAATTGCCTATTCGAGGCTACAAGTTGCGGTTGCCTACGGCGTGTGGTGGGTCTGTGCTGCAGTGCCCGAGCAGTGGCCGAAATGGCAGCTATGGCTTGCTCCATTTCGTCGAGCTCGTCGTCATTGACATCGAGTGCCTGGCACCTAGCTGCTCTCGCAGCAGGCTCCAGTGGGTGGGGAGGGGGAGGGGGAGGGGTACCGATCTTTGCTGGGATGTGATTCCTAATGTGCGCATCGTTTAGTTGCCAGGCCCGAAGGAAGATCTGCTCTATCCTAGTCGTTCTACCCGGACGCTCGGCGTTTTCCCTGGCGTACGCATCCTTCCTGATCTCAAGTTCTGCGGCCAGGGTCTCAACTTCCCTTCCATAGTTCTGCCTGTCATCTTCCCAAGTTCGCGCGATTTTCGCGATGTCGCTGAACAGGATGTTATCGAAGAAATTCGGAAATCCGCCGGTGTCCAGTAACTGCCTGATCACATCCATGCTTTCAGTTTTCATGCAGGTGATGAGGGCTTGCGCAGGTTTGCTTGGCCGCGGGTGCGCCTCAAGCCATTGAAACTTCTCGATGACCTCATTCCACCAGCCGCCGGGAAAGGACTCCGTAGGGGTGTTCTGCAAAAAGAGGCAAGACGACACGCGACAAAGGAGCGGAAAAAAGGAGGGGAGAGGGGGGAGGTGAGGAGGGAGGGGGGAGGGGTGAGAGAGAAAGAGAGGGGGGAAGGGAGGGGGGAAAGCAGACTATTCCTGGTTATGAATGCCACGCTGCACCAGAGCTATCACAAACTAACCTGGCTGCCTATCCGATGGTAACCCGTTACGCAGAATCAGCGTCACTTATCTTTGTTGTGCTCGACGATCAGTCGAGGCGGGGACTTTTTCAAGGTACGGTTCTCAGGGGCGCCCGAGAATAGTGTTGCGGGGAAAATTCCCACTCGTGTGTGTTTTCGTCTCTATGGTACGCGAAGGTACGTAACTTTACTACACCTCACATGTTACTCCGATGACCAATCATCGGCGCACCTTAATCCCCGAAGCTCGTGCAGGTATCGTGAACTACTGCTGCGTGGTAACCCATCCATCAACTCGAGGCAAGGCCAGTGCTCATCTCGTGCGTAGTTACGGGCGATAACAGGGAAAGTCTACGTGCGAGAGTGGAAGAGGCAGTAAGAACTAGAAGGCGGAGGAGGGTTAGTAAATATGGCGGTGCGAAGGGGGGTACGAGGCCGTTTGAAAGATGTCCATGCATGCGAGCGAACTTTCAGTTAGAAGGCGAATGCTACCTTTCGTAAGTGAAAGTGGGGTCGCAAATGTATTGGAAATCGATCTCGGTGATTTCRAAAAAAGGGGRGGGRGGGGRGAGAGGGGAAATAAGTGCACGATATTCCATGCTTGTTTCTTCCCGAGAYAGCAAAGGGGGAGGGGGAAAGGTGGGTCGAAAGTACAGCMTAAGCATTYGTACACGAAGATGAGGGGAACTGCAAAAAAAAGGAAAATAGCACGAGACTACGCCCTATAGGGTTGAAGAAGGAGGGTTCGTGAGGACTGCTACCCGTCTCTTATTCACGATGCTCTAAATTYGAAGGCTTTTAACAAGCCGGGGAGCAACAGAGTGAGAGACTAGTCGCTGATCCTTTTGAAATCCTCTGCGAAGCTGGATAGCTGCTGCGCCAGGGGGGTGGAACCTTTCATGGAAGCAGACTGCTATGCAGCTTGATAATCATGGATCAAGCAAAGTGCAATGGGGGATGAGGAAGGGTTCAGCGAAGGAGAGAACTCCGATAGGGAGGTAGAGCTCTTTTCTAGGCTAATAGCTAGTAGGGAAGGGGTGTCACATCCACAAAAGCATACAATCCACTGCAGACAAGAACAACGATTCTTTTTGACTAACCATCGCTATAAAAAAAAGGGGGGGAGTAGAGAGGAGATTGAGATACACAGATGCGAACCGCTTTTCATTCCTAAGCTTTCGGTAAGGGCAAAGAAGTGGAACTCGAACGCAAATGGAAACGAAAGAGACGGAAAGAACCCGAGTAAACAAAATGCGATCCATCTTTCACTCCTGCGCTCCCGAATAAATGATCTTAGCGCAGGTGGCTAAAGGAAAGATCGCATATCTCCGAAAAGAAGTGAGGTTAGGTAAAGGGGGGGTGATGGGGAAGAAGGGAAGTCTATCATTTTTAAGATATAAGTCGCAACGCTTTTAACATGGAGGAAAAAATGGGGGGAGGGGGCATACCGGTATGCAGTCAGTCTTTCATTCCTGTGTATCCGACTACGGGATCGGAGCGCAGGCGACTGAAAGCCAGATCACACATCGTTTGAAAAAGTTCTTCAGGGAAAACAGTGAGGAAGAATGTGCGAGGTAAACAAGAACAGAAAAAAAACAAAACAAAGGTAAAAAAATCAAACGATGATACACCCAATTTATAACACGCATTAAGCTCAGAACACTTATGCTTGAAAAGAGTATTGCTAAAAGGACCCTCTCCGTAATCCGGACCGGGGGGGGTAGGGAGAGAGGGAAAGAGAGGAAGGGGAAGAAAAGAGGAGGAAAAGAAGGAACTAAAAGGAAAAGAAAACGAGAAACGTGCACCATGCCATTTCAGTGTCCTGAATGCGCATCGACATGCACGGGACAACTCAGCAGATCCACAGGAGGGGTGGCACATCCTTGAGGCCTTTCTACTGCCTGCCACTGGCGGCTTCATCAGAGGGGAGCTCTTCCTTTGTTGTCGGAAGGTTGAGACGAAGAAGAGGGAGGGTTACGGGGG